GGGTTTTTATGGAAAGTGCTGACATTCTTGGAAAACTTTGAGATGTTTGTGGATCGACACAGTTAAGGTGTATAGTTGGAATCTGTTGAGAAATCCAGTCAAAACCTGAATCCAAACAATAAGGTGTTTGTTTGTATCAGCACTTTATTAGGGGACTGTGTTTGATCTATTTGAATTTTGAAAATTTGAAATTTGAGAATGAGGTTGAGTGATTAAAATCTGAGGATAAGTGGACATAGATTTTACTCAGTTTTTGCAGAACAATGAGAATAAAAAGAGCCGAAAGAAAACGATGAGATACATATTGCAGTGAAAATATTTGGGTTGTGAGTGGATATTGAAATTTGTAAGTACTTTTTTTTTGTCAGAATAGAGAGTCTCATGTTACTACAAGAACAAGCTGCAGCTTTTGAAGCACACAGCAATATACTGTGCTAGCTTGTGCAGCTTCTTGATAAACGAATTCATCAAATGCTGTTAGAAATTTTCATTTGCCAAATTTGGTTCATTTGCTCTTTTTGATGATCTGTAGCTTGATGGATTCAATCAGTCACATTGTGTTATTTCCGTGTTTTTCTCTCCTAACTTTTCACTAGAAGCTGATGGATCGTATATTGCAAGAAATGCCGAGTTGTTGAGTTTGATTTATTTAAGATAAGAGTGAAAAAGTGGTTCTTGTTTAGCTGTGTCATACTTTGCCCCAGAATATTAATAAAAAACTGCTCGATCTTACAGTTTGTGCAGTACAATTGTCTTGAACTTATGATAATCTAAGATCAAAAGTAAATCTGTTTTGATTATTCGGCGTGAGTTTCACATAACGAGAGCTTCCATTGTATATCATAATTCTTACCAACACTTCATTCTTTGCTCTAATTGCAGCAGATCATGAAGACACTTTTGCTTTGAACTCTTTTTTTGTTTTATAAACTGTAAAACGATGAGGCGTGCAGTCACGAATAACAAGAACATGTCATCGTGCCCCACCATTCGAATCACACGAGCTCGTGCAAAAACCTTGGCAAAGCAAAGTGACAATTTTTCGCAAACTAACGCGAAAAGGCCAGCTGGCGGTGAAAAGAAGCTGCCTGCAGGGGGTTTAGATGGTTGCCCTAAGAGAAGGGCCGTGTTTAAGGATGTTACTAATGTAACACGACAAAATGCTGATGTGAAATCAAAAAATGCAGGAAGAGATGAGGTACTAATATAAATTTGCGCAATGTGATTTGTTGAATGCTAAAGTAAGTACTTTTCTTTTTCGGCAATAATTACTTGCTAACACTATATGTTGTATTGCTTGCATTATGAAGCACTATCCTTATACATCATTACACATCTCCTCGAGTAGTTCATATAGGAAATATTAATTTCTACTCAACGACAGTGCTTTATTTGAAATGCAAATTCGAGCGTTCTATTTCCTTGTTGACAAGTTTACTGAATAAGGGTATTTATCGGTTGTCAGCTAAGTAAATGTGACAAAGAAGTTGCCTTGCAGGCAGAGGGAAATGTGGCACCTGTTTGTATTGCTAAAATGCTCCAAATTCAAGAGGAGAAAAGAGAAAGCAAGTTACACTACACGAATAAAAAAATAAAGATGGAATCAAAAGAAATTGTATCAGTCGATGACCAAAAAACGTCTCGCACATTAGTTCCGATTTTTGAGAAGGCAAATCACAGTAAGTTGAACTGCATTGCAAGGTCCATATTTAGTATAGTATAATTTCATGATAAACGAAGATTAGATGTAAATGGATTATTGTTCTTCGTTATTTTGAATATGCATTGGACTTCATAATGATAAATGACCTGATTGTATGATTCTCATTCAGATGCATCNAGAGAAACATATGAGTCTTGTCTGTTATAGATAGTCATGTTAGAAAAGTCAGTATGATGTGGTTTTTGTAACAAAAATGAATAGAACATTCCAAGCTGCTCTTGTTAGAAATAATCATACAATTGCATTGCTCTACAAGAAAGATGAACAGCTTATTTACGAATTTTTGGCTGATCATGCAGAAGATGAACAGCTCTACACGAAAGAAGAGAACTTTTTAAAGAAAAGTGGCTTGATCGATATAGATACACAAGACAAAGATCCGCAGATGTGTGGTCAGTATGTCGAAGATATATATCATCACTTGTATGCAGCTGAGGTTTGTTAATAAGCTGTAAAAGGATCATTTAATGATTAAAAATTACTAAAAAATAGTTTAGAACATGAGCAACTGTTTTTTCTTTTTTTCGCCCTAACGAGTTTTAGTCTTGTCACAGCTTGGCCGTAGGCCCTCACTTGATTACATGGAAAAAGTACAGAGAGATATCAATCAAGGCATGCGGGCTATTCTGGTCGATTGGCTTGTTGAGGTTAGTTAAGTCAAATTATGATATAAGTATTCTTCTTAATATTTTCTTTCTTTTCTCATTTATTTTTTNGTGAAAAATACCTCCAAATTTAGCCTTTACTACAAATACTTTCTAAAAGGAAGTATTTTATGTTGTTGTAATTCCTTATATATATATATTATCATTCTCATGTGCACTTGCTCAAAAATTTTCAGGTTTCGGATGAATATAAAATGGCCTCCGATACACTATACTTGACTGTAAATCTTATAGATAGATTTTTATCTCATCATTATATCGAGAAGCAAAAGTTGCAACTTCTTGGAGTCACGTGCATGCTAATTGCTTCGTAAGTTCGCTCTCTTTCCCTCATAATTTAATTCTACACAATCATTTCAAGTTTCGTTTCATTTTTTTTTTCATAGATTCGACTATACTATTGAGCTTTTTGATATTCATTTTAGTTTTATGTACCAATCTGTTAAACTTACAGGAAATACGAAGAAATATATGCTCCACGTGTGGAAGAATTCTGCTTTATTACAGATAACACCTACACGAAAGATGAGGTACCATTCTGTTATACAATCCTTTTTTTTTTTCTTTTTATCTTTTCTGAACTCTGCAAACACTTTTGTTAGTTTGTTATAGTCTAAATTTCGGTTCGGAACTTTTTAATAAACCGATTTAGCTTAGAAATTACATCTTTAATTCATTTTATTTATTTAACAGGTTGTAAAAATGGAAACTTGTGTTCTGAACTGTTTGAGCTTTCAATTATCAGTTCCCACCACAAAGAAGTTCCTCAGGTACCACCACATTGCAAAAAATACCCTTGATGTGCAGTGTAATTATGCAAAGGCCCAGATATCTTTCAAAACTACATTGTTCTTCAAGAAAATATTCCGAATATTGAAAGCAATCGTGTTTTTGTTGTATTTAAGCCAAACCTCAGGGGTGTTTTATGCAATTATCCAGCATTATGTACAGCTCTGCTTCAAAATGTTCAACGTTTTCCTAATGAATTGATATCTGCAGGAGGTTCCTTCGTGCAGCACAAGTTTCATACGAGGTTAGGGGAAATTTACGTTTTCGCTCATCCTTTATCGATAAATAGGCCTTTTTTTTTGCACTAAAAAAACAGGCCCTCCCGTTTTTTTTTCAGGTTCCTTTAGCCGAGCTCGAATTTTTGGCGAACTATTTAGCCGAATTAACGCTAACAGATTACAGTTTCCTTAAATTCCTGCCATCACTAATTGCTGCATCTGCTATATTTCTAGCAAGATGGACACTTGATCAGTCACAAAATCCATGGGTTTGCTTCTTTTTTT